GGGGCGGGTTGATACCATTATAATTAAACCTAGGTGAAATTGCGACAACAAAAACAGTCGATTTTTACATTTCTTAATACCATAATTTCAAAAATTCACTGTCTTATAACTATATCTCTTTATGAATAGTTGGATCAAGAAAAAATCCCAAAACATTAGTCACACACGGCGATCATTCAAAAACATAAGGCGTATATATATAAAGTAGAGTCAACATTATACATATATATATATAATGTTGACTCTACTTTAAACCTAAATACAACAACTCTATATTTTACTTAGTAGAACTTGTTTCATTCATGTCCAACTAACTAATACAACAACAGCGTTATTAAAACAAATTATCTTTTTAAAACACACACACCCTTGTCATGTATATAGTATATATATATATATTTAGAACATACGCCCTTCTCATGTATATAGTATTCCACTTAATAATGATACTCATGGAAAAATATATACGCTTCGTATGAGTGATGTCGAGGATTCAGTCCTGTCTATATCTAGTTTATATATATTTTTCGCAAAACAGTGTTTAAAATAATTTTAGTACATACACTGTAGGCGAAGCAAGGGTTTATTCCCTAGTATACATTAAAAAAATTGAAAATATAGCAGAATATCTTTACCTCAGATGCTATTTTCAAAAATATTCAGAAAGCTCGTTCAAAATAAAAAGGTGTCGAACGGAGAAAAAGAAGAAAAAACATTCATAGACTAATACACAAAGTACAGCGTTGAAAGTTTAAGGTACCTTGTTACGAGAGATACCACAAAACAAGATGGCCTAAACAGAAATGGGGATTCATCATACTTAACCCTATTCGAAAACGCGTTATATGAAATAATATTAGAGCTAAAAGGAAGTATTAGAAGCAATCTGCTATTCACTATTTGTGATGAAACAGAGCGATAATTAGAAAAACTGACATACAAATCAGGACTGTTCAACAAGACCACTGATAGTAAAACTTATGTCATCAAAGAGGTAATTCAATCTAAGGAATAATGATACATCTGCATGAAGAGATGTAATAAAACTTAGAATATCTTAACCAGTAAACGAAGCTAACTCGAGAATTTCAAAAGCTTCTGTACATGTTAGTGTAATATAAGGTTAAAACTGGTTCAGTCATAAACTTCTAATATTAAAATACAATACGGTTACAAAACTATTACTTTATGTTCCTTTACTTACTTACCTGTAATGAATGTCATTACACCACAACAACCAAGCTATTACTTTAGGTTCCTTTACTTAAATACCTGTAATGAATGTCATTACACTACAACAACCAAACTATTACTTTATGTTCCTTTACTTACATACTTGTAATGAATGTCAGTACACTACAACAATCACCCCATTACTTTATGTTCCTTTACTTACATACCTGTAATGAATGTCTCTACACTACAACAACCAAACCATTACTTTATGTTTCTTTACTTACGTACCTGTAATGAATGTTATTACACTACAACAATCAGACTATTACTTTATGTTTCTTTACTTACATACCTGTAATGAATGTCAGTACACTACAACAATCAAACCATTACTTTATGTTCCTTTACTTACTTACCTGTAATGAATGTCCGTACACTACAGCAATCAAACTATTACTTTATGTTTCTTTACTTACTTACCTGTAATGAATGTCCGTACACCACAACAATCAAACCATTACTTTATGTTTCTTTACTTACTTACCTGTAATGAATGTCAGTACACAACAACAATCAACCCATTACTTTATGTTTGTTTACTTACTTACCTGTAATGAATGTCTGTACACCACAACAATCAAACTATTACTTTATGTTTCTTTACTTACATACCTGTAATGAATGTCTGTACACTACAACAATCAAACCATTACTTTATGTTTCTTTACTTACTTATGTGTAATGAATGTCATTACACTACAACAATCCCATTACTTTATGTTTCTTTACTTACATACCTGTAATGAATGTCAGTACACTACAACAATCAAACCTTTACTTTATGTTTCTTTACTTACTTACCTGTAATGAATGTCCGTACACTACAACAATCAAACTATTACTTTATGTTTCTTGACTTACATACCTGTAATGGATGTCCGTACACTACAACAACCAAACCATTAATTCATTACAGGTAAGTAAGTAAAGAAACATAAAGTTGCTGTAGTGTACGGACAAACATAAAGTAATATTTGAAACAACCAAACCATTACTTTATGTTTCGTTACTTACTTACCTGTAATGAATGTCCGTATACTACAGCAATCAAACTATTACTTTATGTTCTTTTACTTACATACCTGTAATGAATATCTGTACACTACAACAGTCAAACCATTACTTTATGTTTGTTTACTTACTTACCTGTAATGAATGTCCATACACTACAACAAGCAAACCATTACTTTATGTTTGTTTACTTACTTACCTGTAATGAATGTCCGTACACTACAACAATCAAACCATTACTTTATGTTTCTTTACTTACTTACCTAGTAATGAATATCTGTACACTACAGCAGTCAAACCATTACTTTATGTTCCTTTACTTACATACCTGTAATAAATGTCCGTACACTACAACAATCAAACTATTACTTTATGTTTCTTGACTTACATACCTGTAATGGATGTCCGTACACTACAGCAATCAAACTATTACTTTATGTTTGTTTACTTACATACCTGTAATGAATATCTGTACACTACAACAGTCAAACCATTACTTTATGTTTGTTTACTTACTTACCTGTAATGAATGTCCGTACACTACAACAATCAAACCATTACTTTATGTTTCTTTACTTACTTACCTGTAATGAATGTCCGTACACTACAGCAATCAAACTATTACGTTATGTTTATTCACTTACTTACCTGTAATGAAAGTCCGTACATTACAGCAATAAAATTATTACTTTATGTTTCTTTACTTACTTACCTGTAATGAATGTTATTACACTACAACAATCAAACCATTACTTTATGTTTCTTTACTTACATACCTGTAATGAATGTCAGTACACTACAGCAATCAAACCATTACTTTATGTTTCTTTACTTACTTACCTGTAATGAATGACAGTACACTACAACAACCAAACCATTACGTTATGTTTATTCACTTACTTACCTGTAATGAAAGTCCGTACACTACAGCAATCAAATTATTACTTTATGTTTCTTTTCTTACATACCTGTAATGAATGTCAGTACACTACAACAATCAAACCATTACTTTATGTTTCTTTACTTACATACCTGTAATGAATGTCAGTACACTACAACAATCAAACCATTACTTTATGTTTCTTTACTT